CATTCACACACACACACACACACACACACACACACACACAGCAAGCATTTGCTGAGCACTCCTCCGTGCCAGGCCCTGTCTGAGTATCCATGCCAGGGTCGAGGCAGGCAGACCTGAGAGGGGACAAGCTGAACCATGGATGGGGAGCTCTGCCCATCAGGGTAGCCCCAGCCCTAGCACATGCTGGCACAACCCAAACTGAAGGAAGGAACAAGGGTCTGTGGGATCAGAGAGGAGTGCGCCTGACTCAGGGTGAGGCTCAGGAGAGGCTTCCTGGAGGTGTTGGCCTTGGGCTGACTGTAAAGAAGAAAGAAACATTAACCAGGCTGTGAGAGAGAGGAGAGGGAAGAGGGGAGAATAGTTCCAGGCAAGAGTGACAGGACTCACACAGAACAGGCTTTGAGAGATGTGTGGTGGTCCCTGGCCACCAGTCCTGTCTGGCAATGAGATCCATGGTGTCTGGGCCGTATCTTCCTCAATTCCTGAAGAATGAGACCCAGCCAAGCTGAGGATGAGGATCACCCTCTGGCAGGGTCATGGCAATCCTTTCATAAGGACTTCTGGAGGGTTGGGTGGATAAGGGTGAGATTGGCCCCCGGAGTCTTCCCCTGAGGGAAGGCGCTATCTGCCACCTACCTAGCAACATCTTCTTCCCATCCTCCATCATCCTGGCACTTAGGGGACATGTTACGGGGCCCGAGGCCTCCTGCACTCCTCCGACCCTATTTGTCTCTGCGGAAACAGTGAGTCATTTGTACTCCGGAAAGAACCTCTCGACCCCTGAACAGGCCCACCCTGTTAGAAAGATTCGGTTATGACCATTTTCCCAATGGGAAAACTGAGGCCTCAGTGGTAAGTCACTTCTCTAAGGCCTCACAGCAAGTTCACATCAGGGTTGATTCCAGTGTGTTCACTTTGCCAATTACCAGCATCTTGGATTATGGCAGCCAATTGGCTTGGAGGAGGTGAGAGGGAAATGGAAAAGAGATTGGACTTCAAGACCAGCCAGACAGGAAGGGTCCAGCTCAGCACAAGGGGTCTGGCCCAGGGACTTGCACCTCAGTGGTTAGGGACAGCAACATCATGGGGGTGGGCATCCACCCAACCCAGACCCTTTTTATTCCTAATACTCCCAGAGCAGCAGTGGGAAGTATAGAGGGCCTTGCAGCACCTGTGGGAAAGAACATGGTAGCCCTTGGTCTTCCCTCCCTGCTGGCCTCTCCCCTGGAGTCAGAAATAGTGGCTTAGATCCAGAGTCTGGGTTGGAGCAGAATTCACATCCAGGTCCTAACTCCCAAGTTTAGTATTCTGCCTACTTGCCTTGCTACCCTCACCACCGCCGCCAAAGTGGCAAGCAAAGGCTTCGAAAAGGTGGGGTCCAGTGTCTCCTTAGGTGTGAGTACTATGCATTGGCTGCCAGGGCACCCACTCCCCCATCTAGTGTCTGTTCTACACTCTGACAACCCAGGGGATAGAAAAGATACTGGACATTTGGGGAACCTGGAGACTTCTTTTTCATTTGCCTTCTCTGGAAGGAAAAGGATGCTGGATGACAGAGCCTAGTGCTGGGGGCTTGGGAGCTATACCGGCAGGGGTGGAGGGCATATGTGCTGGGGAGCCAAGGGTCCCTGGTAATATCTATTGCGAATGGAAATGATACTCAGAGGAGCCATGGCTGAACCACCCAGCCTCCATGTCTCCTGGCCTAGCTAGAGTAAGGGTGCTCAAAGGGTACCTTGGTACCTGGTAATATCTACTCTGCCCACCTATGCTTGCCTCTGCCCCAGAGAGAGACACCAGGCTCTTCCAGGAGGAGGTCTTCATGGCCCATCTGGCTCTGATCAGCTGCTTTCAGCTTCTATGGTTGGTGTTCATTGGCTGCTTCACGAGCTGGCTATGCCTCTCCACCAATGGGGCTGACTTCTTGGCTCTACCTTCATGCCCAGGCTGGATCCAGGATTGTACACAATGGCCTTGGCACCACCCTGCCCCCTGTAGGAAGCACAAGGGTCATGCCAACCACACTCCTTCCAGCCCTTGGCAGCAAGGTTATCTCATCCAAGAGTCTGTCAAAAGAACTTGGCCTAGACCCTGCCCCTGACTTAAGACTTCCTGGTTTAGCCTTGGTCCTTGTAAGGACCTTTCTTCCTCAGCAAACAGCATTGAGGCCCTACTAGGTGCCAAATTCTGTGATAAAAACTCAGGTTACAGAGCTGAATTGACACCAGATCTGCCCTGGGGGTAGTCAAAGTCAAGTTGGTGCTGTTACTGGGGGCAGGGTAAGAGTGATGGACAGACGTATAAACAGACAAGTGTAATCAATCAACTGTTACCAGATGGAAGCCCAAGGACAGGAGGAGGGTCAGTTCTCTGGAGGGAGGGGGATGGAGAGGGTGGTCAGGGGGCATGCAAAGAATCCTGGAGTATTTGCTCTGGAAGGAGCATCAGGAAGCAAAGCCCAACGCTCTCACTGTGTGGATGGGGGAACTGAGGCCCAGTCAGCAGACGTTACTTGGCCGGGGTCCCCAAGTGAGGTAGTGGCAGGTTCTTGGACCCCGATTTCCAGTCAGGGCCCTTTTGGAGGTACCAGGTGTCCTTTCTGGTTTTCTGTATCCAGATCCTTGTGTCCTAACTCCATTTTTGGAAAAACATGTGACATCTCTATCCAAAGGTCATGGTTACCCAGGAGGTGCCTGCTCAGGCCCAAGGAGCCAGGCGCTGCCAGTCCTTCCTCCAGAGGCAGTGTGGCCTCTAGGCCTAGAATGGGGTGGTTGAGTTTTCCTCTCTCTCTCTCTCTATCTCTCTTGCATTTTTGTGAATCTAATGATGAACTTACGCTACCACACTTTTCCCTTCTCTTACACATCTTACCTACTAAAGGAGGAAGTGCCACTTTATTGGTAAGTGGACGTTAACCAAGAGGGACTTAAAAAAATCAGAACCTAAAAAAAAAAAAAAGAAAAGAAAAGAGAGAAACAGAAAGACAGTAGGGCGCTACTGACAGCTCCACAGGTCTCTGCAGGGCCGGAAAACAAAGACAGAAAAATGTTAACAGAAAAATGTCAGTTCCCCAGGAGTTCAGACATTGTTTTTGATTTTGGTATCTAATGACATTTGTGGATTTTGTTTTTTATTTCTTTTTTTTCCCTTCCCTTTCTTCGGTTTAGTTTTGAGTTCAGTTGTCCTGCCCCGCCCCCATCCCCATCTGTGTGCCGTGTGCCCCCTCCATCCCCTCACTCACCCCCACGCTGGGGGCCTGGGCTGCTGGGCCGGGCCTAGCGGGGCCTCCCGGTGCCCACCCTCTCTCTTCTCTCCGCCGGGATCGTCCGTCCCTGGAGGGGAGCGATGCCAGCCCCCTGCCCGTCCTGGAGCCCTCTCCCTGTCAGCCCCCGACCCCTCCGCTCCGTTCCTCTTGTGTTTTGCATGCTGAGAACCTTGCATGAGCTGCACTGTTGAGGCCAGAAGGTGGACACTCAGGAGAGGCAGAGGCAGGGCAGGCGCGGGGAACCGTGTGTGCGATGCTCCGGGACTGGCAGCCCCAGGCCTGAGCCAGGTGAAAGCCCTCTCTCCTTCTCTCCCCCCACCCCACCCACCCGCTCTCTCACCTCGGCCTCTCCTTCCTTCTCTTGATCTGTCCTCTCTCTGTCTTTCTCGGGCTCCTCGTCTCCTTTGGTCTCTGCTTCTCTATCTTGTCCCTGTCTCCCCTCACTCACCTGTCTCCTGCCTCTGCCTCTCTCTCCTGGGTCTCATCTCCTATCTTTGCTGTCCTGCTTCCGTCTCTCCGTCCCCGCTCTCCTGTCTCTCTCACTCTCTCCGTCTCCCCCCACCCCACCCCTGCACCCCTGTTCCCCTCTGCCTCTCTCCCCGTCAGAAGCCCAGCTCGCCCTCGCCCAGGGCCGGCGACCAGGCGGAGGCCGGCGCAGCGCCGTCGCCCGCGCGGGGGAAGGAGAGCACGAGCCCGCGCTCGGCGCCATCGTCGCAGGGCAGAGGAGACCGCGCGGCCGGCGGCCAGTGCTATGGGGCGGCTGGCGGCGGTGGTGTCGCCGCCTACATGTCGCTTTCCCAGATCCCACGATAATAGCTTCTCGCGCTCTTATGTGGCGTGTTCTGGGGATAATGTAAGTTTCGAGAGGGTTTTATCGGCAATATTTAAAATATACCTGATTCCTTTTTTTTTCTGCGTTCTTTTAGTGTATAGGGTCGGATGTCAATAGTTACCGTTATTATTTTTTT